ATTAATTTAGTTTTTGTCTGAACAGGCGTGACCAGGGCAGTGACGTGTCCCAGATGGTTATATGAAGGTAAAATAGACAATACTACTATTATAAACATATATAAAAAATAATATAACTACTAGCTATTATCAAAAACAGTATACAATTAGATCTTATATGAAAACATTATAGGATCCATGCATTCTGTCTGTCCTTCCCTCTGTCTATCCCCCCCTCCACTGTCTCGCTCTCTCTCGCTTTCTCTCTCTCTCTCTCTCTCTCTCTCTCTCTCTCTCTCTCTCTCTCTCTCTCTCTCTCTCTCTCTCTCTCTCTCTCTCTCTCTCTCTCTCTCTCTCTTCTCTCGCTATCTTTCCCTCTCTCTATATATTTCTCACGCCATTCTGGGTTTCCCATCTCCTCTCGCCTTTTCTTTCTCTGCTCCTCTGGCTTTCCCTCTCTACACACTCCCCATCTTATTTTCGTTCTGTCTCTTTCGCTCATGCTCCACGAATCTCACAATCTCTCAAAAATAAGCTATAGCAAAGTAATTGTAAATATATGTATATGTGTCTAACGCGTTGATTGTAGTATGGTTTTGTAGCGCCATCTATCAACAGTAAAATGTCAAATTAAACGGTTAAATTTATTTTTACTAAAGGTATGTATGTATGTATGAGTCTAACACGTTTATGAGTCTAACGTTGTTAATATGGTCTCGTAGTGCCACCTCTCGGCAGCAGAAATGTCACATTAATCGTTTAACATTAAATCACTACATGTCCGTGCATCATGATCTGCATAATAGTCAAATAATAAATATTTACTCGTGAGCTTGTTACTATAGCCAGGGAAGAATCCTATTTGTACAAGGGAGTCCAACCCTTAAAAAGAGGTAGTCTGCAGTCTGAAGTTCAAAACTAAAGATATTAACTAAATATTCTTCGTCTCTAACCATCTGAAATTAGCAGGTCATCGGTGAGGGCGCCACCTTCCACAGGGTACAGTACACGGCCGCTGTCATGTCAATGAAAGTCATACAGTATCTCACATAACTGGTAAATGCTACAATATATGTCTGTCTCTTCCTCCACTCTCTCTCGCTCTCTCTTTCTCTGTGCTCACGCATCTGTGCGTCCGCGCGTGCGACCGTGCGTACGTGCGTGCGTCCGTTTATATATTATATGTAACGTTTTTCCCCGTCGCGCGGGACGCTCCCACTGTTCGACCACTGGATTGTACGAGTCACACAAGAACAAATAACACAACTCAGTAATGACAGTGTTTACGCCGGGAATATGCCCGGGGCTTTTATTCCGCCCTGGTCAACAGACCAGAGTGGGCATAAAACGGTGCAATATTCCTCGCAGCGTAAGGCCCGAGTATAGCTAACAAGATACAACTAGGCACTAGGCCTTGACAAGGCGATCCCCTGTAGAGAGTGGCCAAGCCCGTGCAGTGATCGCCGGTGGTTGTTGCCGTGCTGTACCTTGCGTTGTGTGCTTCCTCTCCGACTGACCCGTTCCTGACGAGCTGGCTGACTGCCTCACCGGCAGCCTGCCGGTGAACTAAACTCTCGGTGCTCTGGGGAGCGCTGTATTTATACGCCTCGAAGCAGGCACGTCAAGCACACACGTGACACGCACGCCAGCTTCAGACGTGACATGCACGTCAGCTTCAGACGTGACACGCACGCCAGCTTCACATGTGACACGCACGTCAGCTTCAGACGTGACACGCACGCCAGCTTCACACGTAACACGCACGCCAGCTTCACACGTGACACGCACGCCAGCTTCAGACGTGGCACGCAAGCCAGCTTCAGACGTGACACGCACGCCAGCTTCACACGTGACACGCACGCCAGCTTCAGACGTGACATGCACGTCAGCTTCAGACGTGACACGCACGCCAGCTTCACATGTGACACGCACGTCAGCTTCAGACGGGACACGCACGCCAGCTTCACACGTAACACGCACGCCAGCTTCACACGTGACACGCACGCCAGCTTCACACGTGACATGCACGTCGGCTTCATACGTGACACTCACGCCAGCTTCACACGTGACATGCACGCCAACCTCACACGTGACACGCACGCCAGCTTCAGACGTGGCACGCACGCCAGCTTCAGACGTGACACGCACGCCAGCTTCACACGTGACACGCACGCCAGCTTCACATGTGACACGCACGTCAGCTTCAGCGTCATGAGTACGGCACACGACCAGTTCGTGTCAAGCACGTGTACATTGCCACAGCATGCGGGGATTCGGCCTACATCAAAGCCCACATCACCCAAGGACGCCGGGCAGGCTGCAGGGGGTAGGACGCGGGGATGTGACGCTGCGGCAGACCAAAATTCGTTACATATATATATATATATATATATATTCAACACATCTTCCACTGGCAGTGGTAGCGTCTCACTCGCACTATAGCGTCATAGTCAGATACCACTAAGTTAAATACCTGTCTAGGTTTTATCATCGAAATATATTGCATATGTTGATGAAAAGTGTATAACATATGTACCTGTGCGTGTGTATGGCGTACGTGCACATTATTATTGTTTGATGATTAATATTTATGTGTGGCTAGTGTCGGCAATGCAGTTTATTTTGTATTTCACATAATAAACCAACAATCAAGTCTTCAAATTTGAAGCGTTTTTTGATTAAAAAGAAACGTACAATGGGCATTAACAATTTACATGCATGTTATTGGGAGTACGTGATACCAAGTGCTTTTTCAATACTTTTTGATGTTGTGCATTTCTGATGATACAATTGTTTATAAAAAGAAATCCCACGCATTGTCTGTATTTGATTTTCTCATCATTCTTTTTCCTTTCCTCCTCCTCTCCCAATTCGCCATCCTCTTGTTGTTGTTGGTTCTCTTCCGTAGCAATTATGTGTGCATGCGTACGTGCGTGTCTCTGTGTTTATATCTACATTTACATATAGACATAAAAATTACAAATAATTATACGTACTATGCGTTTTATTATACCAGTGTTGATTATGATGACACAATCACAAACACACAAACACATGATTATTCACAAATGCTATAAAATTTCAGCGATTGTAAAACAGTCACACACTTTGGATAGAGTAATACTCATCAAAAACACAAACATGTCACCATCAGGTTGTATACCGTAAGGGGTTTCACGGCTTTCACAATCAATTCCTAGTTTAGCCTCCAATCTGGAAAGAAGCTGTAGCAGTTGCGTTGCATTTGTTGGGATTCCACACTGCTCCAGTTCACATGTGTTCTGTGTGCTCGCATTTTAACAAAGCCAAGCTGCTATTACATGTGAGTCTGACAGTTCGAGATATACTTTCTGCTTACGTTGCCATCTGTCTTGTGTGGTTATAGAGTGTCTTCAGAGCGTAAGCTTCACTCACTTCAAATGTTACATTTGAATAATTTTTTCTTTCGTGTGAGTTCTCAGGTGTCTCTTCACATGACCTGACTGTGAGAAGGTAGCATGACAGAGATCGCACTTATATGGTTTTTCTCCAGTGTGAATTCTCATGTGTGTCTTCACAGCACCCGAATGCGAGAAGGCAGCATCACACAGATCGCACTTATACGGTTTTTCTCTAGTGTGAGTTCTCATGTGTGTCTTCACAGCACCCGAATGCGAGAAGGCAGCATCACACAGATCGCACTTATACGGTTTTCTCTAGTGTGAGTTCTCATGTGTGTCTTCACAGCACCCGAATGCGAGAAGGCAGCATCACACAGATCGCACTTATACGGTTTCTCTCCAGTGTGAGTTCTCATGTGTGTCTTCACAGCACACGAATGCGAAAAGGCAGCATCACATAGATCGCACTTATACGGTTTCTCTCCAGTGTGTGTTCTCATGTGTGTCTTCACAGCACCCGAATGCGAGAAGGCAGCATCACACAGATCGCACTTATACGGTTNCAAACATGTCACCATCAGGTTGTATAACATATGAGGTTTCACGGCTTTCACAAGCAATTCCTAGTTCAGCTGCCAATCTGGAAAGAAGCTGTAATAGTTGCATTCGTTGGGATTTCACATTGCTCCAGTTCACATATGTACTGTGTACTCGCGTTTTCACAGAGCTAAGCTGCTATTACATGTGAGTCTGACAGTTCAAGATATACTTTCTGCTTACATCTGTACGACATCACACTAGAATTATTATACATTGTCGTGTGTGGTTATAGAGTGTCTTAAATATCAAAAGCTTCAATTTAAATGTTATATTTGAATGATTTTTTCATTCTTGTGAGTTTTTAGGTGTCTCTTCACAGCACCCGAATGCGAGAAGGCAGCATCACACAGATCGCACTTATACGGTTTTCTCTAGTGTGAGTTCTCATGTGTGTCTTCACAGCACCCGAATGCGAGAAGGCAGCATCACACAGATCGCACTTATACGGTTTTCTCTAGTGTGAGTTCTCATGTGTGTCTTCACAGCACCCGAATGCGAGAAGGCAGCATCACACAGATCGCACTTATACGGGTTCTTTCCCGTGTGAGTTCTCATGTGTGTCTTCACATGACTCAGACAGGAGAATGCAGCTTCACATAGATCGCACTTATATGGTTTCTCTCCCGTGTGCGTTCTCATGTGTGTCTTCACAGCACCCGAATGCGAGAAGGCAGAATCACACAGATCGCACTTATACGGTTTATCTCGCGTGTGAGTTCTCATGTGTGTCTTCACACTACTCAGACGTGAGAAGGCAGCTTCACACAGATCGCACTTATATGGTTTCTCTCCCGTGTGAGTTCTCATGTGTGTTTTCACACTACTCAAACAGGAGAATGCGGATTCACACAGATCGCACTTATACGGTTTCTCTCCCGTGTGCGTTCTCATGTGTTTCTTCATATGACCCGACTGCGAGAAGGTAGCATCACACAGATCGCACTTATATGGTTTCTCTCCCGTGTGGGTTCTCATGTGTTTCTTCACATGACTCGGATAGGAGAAAGCAGCATCACACAGATCGCACTTATACGGGTTTTCCCCGGAATGAATTGTCACATATTCCATCGTGCTTCAGGAAAGGCTGCCAGGTACTGGTCACACGCGTGAGATTTCTCCCATGTCTGGCGCTCAAGCTGCGATTACGTGTTTTGCTTCGAAGACGGCCTCGTCACATGCGTAAAATTAACGTCCTATATAGGCTCGCCTACAAATTAGCAAAGAGAAAAGAGAATACGAATAACTTTGTATCGAGGGCCGCGTATTATATTCATGTTCATTATTCAACTGTTTATTCTGTAAATCGAATCATTATCATATAAACATCACGCGCCATTTTACTACTGTGACGTCTAGAACATATTACATCACGAAAATAAATAAACGAAATTATTATAAAAATAATCAGCTTACCAATGAAGTCACTGAACGTCCGAATGGTGTTCTCGTATGAAACTGATTTTACAAACGTTATTGGTGTGGTTATATACCTGTTGTGTTGATGAAACCGGTCAAATATCCAGACACCCGGGGTAACCGGTCTGATATCCTGACACCTGGGCAACCGGTCTGATCTCCTGACACCAGGACACACGCTGGTCGCTTCCACTAATTAATTACAACAGCAGCTGCACACCACGTCCACAAGTGCCATCCACACTGCGCAGGGATGATGACAGTTATTTCTACCACAGCAGGACTAAACAGCTTTGTATACAAACACTAACGAGAAAACACTGTATACATAATGTTTTTACGCGCACCAAGCAATACCAGATCTCTGACATCCAGCTTCATGAACTCTGAGCTCCTCGCCACACCCTGCAACCCTTTATATCTCATCCCAATTATTAAAATGACAACAACGCTTGACGACACATACAAACCATGTTTTACAACTGCGTAAGTAATTAAGGTCCGGGTGTATAAGAGACTTTCTAAGCCATCTTGTGGCTGATTAAGGGATGACTATAATGATGGGGATATAGCGTAGCTCCGTTTTCACAGCTCACTCGGCTGTTGGTACGCCGCCTGATCTTTCGTGTAGACTTAAAAGCTGTTAATATCCCAAAGCGTTATATTTTCATCGTAGAATAAGCTCTTTTAAGCCCAGTGTTTGCACAGTGTCGTCATATCCTGTAAATTCGATGTACATTAAGTTACGATGTAATTTGCGTTTTTGAAGAAGAAGCTATATTTGGTCAGTGTTACGTACGTGTTCGTCAGACGTACGTCACGACAATGTACGACCTCTGATCGGCTGGCGAAGTTTTGTAATATATGGTTCGTATATATAATAATAGTTGGATTGTAGTTAGTGTTAGGGTTCGGGTTCGGGTTCGGGTTCGGTTTCGGGTTAGGGGGTATTCATTTTACATTGTTGCTTCGAGAAAGTCGAGTGATTGATCGTCGCTGATTGGCTGTGGTCCGGAACTCTCGTGGGGAAAAAAATTCGCGACCGGGTGGGAGGGCGGGCTAAGCGCAGGGGTATGTGAGGGTGCGGGGGAGGGGGTGTGGGCGCAGGGGGTTGTGTAACTAGGAAGTCGTGTGAGCCTGGGGTGGTGAGCGTGAGGGTGTCTTGGGTGAGCGAGGAAGGGGGTCGTGTGAGCGCGTGGTGGGGGAGGGTCACGCCTCCTGCTGCGGAGGGGGGGGGCGGTGCAGTACGCACGGGTTTGATCACGATAAGATGTAACTATGTATATATGTCATAGATATAACATGTATATATATTATGTACTACGTGCGCCCGAGTGTGTGCGTGTATATTGTGTCATAGATATAATATGTATATATATTATGTACTACGTGCACCCGAGTGTGCGCGATTGTGTGCGTGTATATATACCATAGATATATGTATGTGTATTATGTACTACGTGCGCCCGAGTGTGCGCGTGTATATATATATATATACCATAGATATATGTATGTGTATTATGTACTATACGTACGCCCGAGTGTGCGCGTGCGTGTGCGCGTCCGTGTTTACGTGTATATATGTGCACATGTGTGTGCGTGCGCGTGTTTGTGGGCATGCGAATGTATGTGTAAGTATATATATATATTCACTAGTAAGTTCCAAATAAGATATAACGCACCTTTATAGTCGTTAGTAAAATAAACTCAGATAAGTAATTGAAGTTAGATAGTGAAGCATCTACTCTTGCTATGGAAACAGGAAACTTTCCATGTAATCTACACCCGACCATTGCTCTGTAGTCGCCGGTTCGCGATAGTCACCTGATTTAGATTTGATTTAGATTTTAGATTGATATTAGATCCTATAATGATGATTAGATAATATGATTTTTAATTGATTTGATTTTAGATGTTGACCGATCAGCGTCCGTATGAATTGCGGCGCGAAATGCGTGCGCGCGTGCGTGCGTTAGAAAACCCGTGCGCGCGTGCGTGCATGAGAAAACCCGTGCGTGCGTGCGTGCATGAGAAAACCCGTGTGTGCTCATTCCTCGTGTAGCATGCGCCGTGTCGTATTAGCTTTCGCGATGCCATTAAATTCGGTATCATCAGGTTTGTAATCGCTTGTAAACAACGTATGATTGATGAATTGTAAATATAGCAGATGGATAGCGACTATTTCGTGGAAATTCGCATAAGGTTTTTACACGTTGGAAGTTTTACGGATATCGTT